CCGTGAAGTGGCAATGAACAACAACTCCCGTCTGATAGCTGCTTAAATAGCTCGCTGTCAGAAAGCATGAACCAATCATGAACAGCAATTCTCCTGCTAGTTTAGCCGCTTGCATTTTAGCCAATCCGCGACGCCTGGCAACAGAGTCTGTGTGAGTGTTGACGTAACTGAGGGGATCTAACAAGGACATTTGGGTATTATAGGAGCAGAACAAAATGAGAAATTTATTTGGAAATATGAATTATGCTCACACCAAGTTTTGGCTTGTTGAAACAATGGTTTCTCATTTAGGCAAGGTTTTAAGTGTTCCTATTTTTCAGTTAAAGAAAATCAACAATAGGTTAGCATTTACCTGCAACCACTCTCTTTTGATCAATAACCAAGAATTGCTCTAAATTTTGAATGTCGAACTAGATGTTCAGCACACTAGAAATGTTTCAGACAATTATATTACTTTACATAAGGCAGGGGATTTGCTGATTTGCTCTTTGGAAAAGTAAAGTATGATGCAGTCAGAGTTGTAAACCTCAAGGATCTGCTAATTCATTCTTTCTCACGGGACTACTTTGCTTCAAACATAGATGTTCAGCTATTTCAACAAGGGTGAGGACTGCTACACTGTAAACAATGATAGCTACATCCCTGAGAATATAATTGGAAATGCCATTGGGAACAGGAAAAAGAAAAATTTTGTCACCATCCAATTTGAAGGGTCTCCATGTAAAATGGAGGTGGACACAGGGTACTTCATGACCCTGATGTCCTGGTCTACAATTAAAAGACTAATTCCTCATTTTTCCAAAAATAACATTAAAACCATAGACACTAAATTAAGAGACTATCAGGGCAAAATTATACCCATTCTAGAGACTTGCCCCTTCCATGTTCAATATGGAAGTTTTTCAGGATTCCTTTCCACCATTATTGTGGAAAAAGAATGCCCCAGTCTCTTAGGCCTGCAGTGGTTTCATTCCCTGGACCTCTCTATTTCAAGCATACATCAAATACAAGAGCCCCTTCTTACCAATCTCATACATGAGTTCAGCGATGTCTTCACCGAAGGCCTCGGTAAGTACAAGAGCAAAATCATTTAATTTAGATCCTCAAATAGCTCCTATGAGACTTAAACTGGCATAGTCCAAATGAAATCCTTGGCCAGAAGTTACCTGTGGTGGCCAAAATTGGATCAACACATCTGTGAGTGGGTCTCTGGATATACAGACTGCCAGGAATCCAGCCCTAACCCTCCAAGAGCTCCCCCAATGGAATGGGACAAACCACGAGCCCCTTGGTCACAACTCCACATAGACTTTGCTGGCCCAGTACAAGAGCATATGATTTTAATTGTGGTTGATTCATTTTCCAAATGGGTGGACATTAAATTAATGTCCTCAACAATTTCTGAGTCATTAATTAAAGCAATGGAGAACCTCTTTGCAACATATGGCATACCAGATTACTTGGTTTCAGATAATGGTCCCCAACTAGTATTGGCACCTTTCAAACTTTGCCTTGCAGGGCTGGCCATCAAACATTCACTCACAGCCCCTTTTTTCACAGCTACAAATGGCCGAGCTGAAAGAGCTGTGTGCTCTGTAAAGGAGGCTCTGGCAAGGCTGGGGCCGGGAGACTGGAACTCTAAAATTTCTAAATACCTCTTAATGCAACATGCCACCCCTTGCCCAGACACTAATCGAAGCCCAGCTGAATTCCTGATGGGAAGATGCATAAATATAAAATTGGACAAATTACACCCAACATACGCACCAGACACAACCAGGGAAACCCATCCAGGCCTCAGAAATTTCAAATCAGGGACTCTGTCTATGCAAGGAATTACTCAGGCCCTCCACTATGGCTCCCTGGGATAGTGACACAAGTTACAGGCCCCAGGTCATATGTAATAACCCTGGGGGATGGAAGAATGTGGAGAAGACACATAGACCAATTAAGGGGGTGACACATTGACTTAAATGATTCAAATAATAAAGCACAACCACCAGATAAAAGGTTTCTTACCGATGAGCCCAATGAGCCGGAATCGGAAGTCAAGGACCGCAACACAACTCGAGGCGAGGACAACTTACTGGGACCTGAGGACTTTGTTCCAGTGATGGCACCTTCCCAAGCTGACAAAGAACCTACTGACACCACTTCAGGAACTTCTTCGGTGCTTCCACCTAATCCACACGAACCAGAAGGCCTTTTGAGGTCAGGACGCATCAGGAGAAGGCCTGCCTACCTTGAAGACTATGTGTGCACCCTCTAGTGACAGTGGGATGCTACGTCCAGGCTCTACCCTGGTCTACAGATGCAACTGTGCTCTGATTGGTTGTTTCAATTCAGACACAAGTATATAAGGAGCTTCAAAGTGCTGACAGCTGCTGCCCCTGTTAGCCGAGCAACTGAGCTAGCCGCAATGTTAGCAAACCTGTTAAAATGCATGTTAGCGAAATAAACCTGTTAGCTTTTACCTCAACCTGTCTTGGCTCAGTCTGTTTGTCCTTGACAGGGACATAACATGCTTCCTCTACCACCACTCTTTCACACCACTTGAGTGAAAAAAAGGTAAAAAGGCTAGAATATATGTCCTTGATATTATGAAAAAAGTGGTTCTGCATCCATATGTCCTGCAAACCATAAATTGCTAACTCCTAACTTAAAGCAACTTTGGAGTTCATGTTATTTAAAGCAACCAGACATTCTTAGCTTTCAAATCAATTATCTAGCCATTGCTATTTTATTTATATATTACACAAGTACGGTATGCAACTATAGAAAATCATTTTAAAGTAAAGAATGGAGTGCTATTTATCTCCTTTACCTACATTGCTCCCTTTGCTAATAAGATTCTTTCCTTACCAATTGATTTTTGAAATAAAGTACAGTGATAAGAAAATCCTACTATGGGAAAGGTCAGATATTAATTTAGTGTTTCACAGATTTCTAGATCTCTTTGATTTAGATATAAGGAGTAAGAAAGTATAGTTTTGTAGTTGGTCTGAAACTCCCTTTCTACCTGATTATTGGCAAGACTAGCTTAAACTAATAGATACTAGACCAACAAATTCTGACATATAATCTTTGTTTAGGTGAAATATATCATAGTTTTCAGACTCCTTTAGATTTTATTTTATTTCATTTCCTAGTTAAGAATTTCAAAAATATCTGTTTTAAAAGTAAGGTGGAATTCTACTTTGGTATTCCAAGAAGAAGAATTGTAATTTGTGAATCATAGCTACTAGCTCTAAATTTAGAAACTAAATAAATTAAGCCTTATTAAAACTTGCATGAGAAATAGCCAGAAAATCCCAGTCTTGCCGTCTATATTGGAAATATGAGAATATATTCTGGAAGACAAATAAAAACTATTTTTGGATTATTCCCATGAAAACCAAGTGGATATGTTCATGACGTCACTGTCCAACTTGAAAGAGAATTTAGATTTATACCTTAAGGACACACCTGTGATCAGTGTAGAAAGAGTAATTAATAATTTCTTACTGCATATGCAGACAAGTTTTCCTGTTTGAACATTGCTTCGTTGTTCTTGTATGATGTGTAATATCTCCCATATGAATTTTAATATATTATAAATAGTTTGAAATGCTTGGCATAACTTCTAGATTTTCTTTCGAACAGACAATTTAGTACCCAATTAATACAGTAGGAAATTAGAACCTAGTAAAAAATGAAATTCTTGTTAGTACAAAGAGAAAAATTACATTTAACAGAATAACAGAGTTGGAAGGGACCTTGGAAGTCTTCTAGTCTAACTCCTACTCAGGCAGGAATTTATCTGCTTTGGATTATTAGAAGGTGAGTCTTTCACTAAATATGGATCAATTGGAGATAGTTTATACTTGTCTTTTTTTGGCTTAATTACTTCCATCTTAAAGTAATGAACTATAAATTGTTAAGGTAGCATAATATGAGAAAGAATTTAAGGATGCTCTTATATTGAACATTATTGCATTATTTTACACACCATGAATTGTGGGTATGTCATAGCTTTATGTAATGTGAAATTCTGTGATTCCATACTATTTCTTTAAATAAGTTAAAATAAAATATTGCCAGATATCCATAATACTTGAATTTGTTATTGTCAGTCTATTCATTACACAAATATCAGTTAAAAATGAGATATCAGTTCCCAGAATGTTTTCTCCATTCTGTTCTATTTGGCTCTCAACGGAAGACAAATTCTGTTGGCTCTTTTGTAATTAATATAAGAAGTTAAAATGTAGAAAAATATTTCTAAGTGATTTCAAGTATATACCTGTAGAAAAGTTGTGCATAATCATTGTATCATTAACTAGTTTGATATACTGTGTGACAGGAAAATTAAGACAGATTTTAAGATCATCTATAACAGAGGTTTGGACTTTATAAGATACAATCATACATCTTTGAGATGGAACATGAATGGAACACCACAGAAATCTTACCGAGGAATATAAACAATTCAGAGGTAAATCTTGATGTATTTGTTGTACTCTGTGTGCTATATTTTATTTATATAATCAGAATTTTATGTAGAGATAAATGATAACCAGATAGATGACAGGCAGATAGATGATAGAAAATCTTGCTGTCATTTTTATAATAACTGAAGAGTAGCATAATCTTTGTAAGTCTCAATAATTTAGTTTCTGTGAACTATTTTAATCAATGAATTTATTGCTTAAGAAAATGAAAACTAATACAAAATAATAAAAATCAAGAAAAGGAAAAGGAAAAGAATTCAAACTAAATAAAAGTAAAAGTGAAAGGAAAGAAAAAAGAAAAAGAAAAAAGAAAAAGAAAAATAATACCAAGAGGTAGTTTTTGATCTTCTCTACAGCAGTTGCAAATATCATTATAAACTTACCTCTTAATTTATGCCACAACATAGCTCACTTCTTTCTATAATCTACCTTGTGTAATCATTAAAACTGTTACATTCATTTTTTCTGTTTCATGCAAAAAGTCTATAAAGGGTTTAAAGTAAGCAATAAATGTAGATATTGCCTTTTCGGTGTATTGTAGAGTATAGATAAATAACCTATTTGCAGAAATATAAGCAATAGGCAAAAGAGATGTATGGGAAAGTCTTAATGTAGCCTTCCTTCCTTCCTTCCTTCCTTCCTTCCTTCCTTCCTTCCTTCCTCCCTCCCTCCCTCCCTCCCTCCCTCCCTCCCTCCCTCCCTCCCTATCTTCCTTTCTTTCTTTCTTCTATTATGAAGAACGGCTTTTCAGCAAAGAATGAACTATGTTTTCACTAATACCTTTCCTCTCTATGTAATTCTTTATGAAAATACATATCTCTTTTGACATTATACATATGTCTGCATACTATGAAAGAGAAATGGAAGAAATTTCTTGGCTATTCAAATGTATGATACTCAAGTTACTTTATTAAATGGGGAAAGATTTGAGACCACTATACTGAATATCCAATAAAGTTTAAGGATCAAAGAAAAAGGAAGGATGACATCAAGTCATCAGGATTAATTATGTTCTTTCAATTGTATTTCAGAATCATTTAACTTTCCAGCAGCACGGAAGAAATCAATCAACTCCTTCTGAATTTATCCTTCTGGGATTTGGCAATCTCCTTGAACTGAGAATAGTCCTCTTCATATTATTTCTTCCTGTTTATACTTTCTCCATTGTTGGTAATCTCCTAATTGTTTCAGTGGTTGTGATTGACCAGCATCTTCATACACCCATGTATTTCTTCCTTGTTAATTTGTCTTGTTTGGAAATCTATTATATTTCTACCATTCTACCCAAGATGCTGGCTAGTTTTGTAACTGGAGATCAATCTATACCTGTCTATGGATGCATTGTACAGTTTTTCTTCTTTGGGGTTCTGGTAGCCACTGAATGCTACCTTTTAGCAATGATGTCTTATGATCGATATTTAGCAATATGCAAACCATTGCATTATACCACACTCATGAATGGCAGACTCTGCCTCCAATTGGCTCTTACATCTTGGATGAGTGGGCTTTTGACCAACACTATCATAACCTCCTTACTGCTTAAACTTACCTTCTGTGGACCCAATGAAATTGATCATTTCTTTTGTGATATATATCCAGTAGCAAACATTTCATGCAGCAATACACACTTAGTAAAGCTTGCTACATCTATTTTATGCATAATTGGAACAGGGCTTCCTTTTCTCTTAACAGTGGCCTCATACATCTGTATTCTTCATACTGTCTTACAAATTAAATCTAAAATTGCCCAACAGAAGGCTTTTTCCACATGTTCATCCCACCTAATTGTAGTGACAATTTTCTATGGCTCAGTATTCCTTGTCTATGTAGTTCCAGAAACTGAAACACTAAAGGAGCTACATAAAATGTTTTCTGTATTCTATACCATCCTAACTCCTATGCTCAACCCTCTTATCTATAGTTTGAGAAACAGAGAGGTGAAGGAAGCTCTCTTAAAAGCCATCAGAAAATACAGCAACAAAATTTCATAATCTTGTAATGCTATAATTTTTTCTAATTGCAGATCAGGATATTCTGAAATGATTTTTTCCTGCTTTCTAAATAAAATAATCCAATCCACATCTGTCCTTCATTGATGACCAGATTACTTCTCAATATGTTTCAATACATGTCTATGCAAATATGCATCTCAATGATGGCGATATTTTAGAAGAATAGATGTTTTCTCTTTTTTTATTTGTATTTTTGTACTTTAGAAATGTAACAGATTAAGTCTGCAGAGCAATATGAAGCAAAATGCATGTTTTCATTCTTTGTTAGCAAGAAATTATTGACAGTTGGTTTTATATCAGGAAGGTTTAATAGTGGAATCCACTGTCCACAAAGATTGGGCATGAGTTCCCCTTAATTGGATATGTTCCCATGGAACTGGGACTACTGAGAACAATTCATTTTTGATATGTAACTAGAATATCACATTATTTGATTTAGGGTTATAGAATCTGCTCAGTCTTCAACTCTATTTCATTATTCATTTTTATTTTTTGTAGTTCACAAACCCAAAGGTGCTTTTTCAAGAGGCAGCTGGACTTTCCTGTTTTTCTTTAAAGATTTTTTTTTCTCATCCACAAAGCTCCTTCAGCTCTGGCTGGATATTGGGGAATGGAAGGATTTATATTCCTTGCAGACAGCTGGTCATTTTATGCCACTTTTATGCCACTTTTGAAGCTTACTTAAACAAGATAATTAATTTGCATCCATATGAAGTTAGAAGACACAGAGAGTTGTGAAAAGTCACAAGAACTTTTTTTTTTAATTTGATTTATATGCCGCCCTTCTCCGGAGACTCAGGGCGGCTTACAATGTGCTAAGCAATAGCCTTCATCCTTTTTTGTATATTTATACAAAGTCAGCTTATTGCCCCCCACAACTGGGTCCTCAATTTACCTACCTTAGAAAGGATGGAAGGCTGAGTCAACCTTGAGCCTTGGCGAGATTCGAACCTGCAGTAATTGCAGGCATCTGGTCTTAATAACCAGCTTAATAACAGGATGCCTTAGACCACTGTACTACCAAGGCTCTTGGAATCCTGTACAGGATTCCAAGCTTCTTTGAATGGTTTGATTTTTTAAACCAAATCCTTAAAGAAACTGAATTGGTGATTGGGTGCAAAATTTAGGGCATGTCAAATTTTTCAGATTTAAAATTCCAAACACTAGGGGTGCTCAAAAGTTGTGACATTCCTTGGGGATTGTAATGATATCTTGGTTACTCTAATATAATTTGACATGCTTGGTAAATAACTACATAAATATCATACCTTTTAAACATTTTGTTTGTTTCATTTGTACATCTTACTTATTTAACTGAATAGAGATACAGAAAAACATTTCTATGAAAAGTCTCAGTAAGTCTCAGTTTGACATACAGTACATTACTGTATGTCAAAATTTCCTTAGCGTTCTTATCCTTCAAAACACAAGTTGTTTCAGAGACAAGATATTTACAGAACAAGTGGAAATTATAAAGGCTTGTTAAATTTCCCAGCCTGCTACCTCTACATGTTTTGGACTTCAAATCCAATTCTTGACAGCATGGTCAAAAGTTAAGGATATATTAGAGCTGGATTTAGACTCTACAATTAGATTTATGATTGTCAGCACAGGTATCTATTATACTGCAATAACCCTGAATCTGAAAAATTCAAGTTATGCATGGAAAATGCAAATATAAGCCAACAAAGAATTGTGTGGGAATTGACATGTTTATTATGTCATCACATTTTGGAGATCCACATGTTTTATTGGATGCATAGAACATAATTTTGAAACAGGAAAAAAAAGCTATATACATTAACAATTCTCATGTAATCATTCTAATCAAGTTTGTTGGTTTAACCTCCCACTCCACCCCTATAGTTGCTTATAGGCAACCACACTGAAATTTATTTCTCATTTCCAAGTCCTAAAAGTACTCTGAATGTACTGTATTTCCAACACTTTATGGGTGAAATACACACTTTTCCCTTTCTCCAAATACTTTTCAAAAGGTATATGGCTTCTGTATACAAAAATGAAGATTGATGAAGGGGAAAAAATGGGCAAAAACAGTTAGAAAACCTTGTCCAAGGCCAGTGAGATTTTAATAAGGTAATAAAATGTATGTTGTAGTTTGCAGAAGATTAATGCTACTCACTTTCTGATTTCTAATCTAATTTCTTATGCATAAATTGCTAAATGTGATGGGCTTAGATTTCCTTGTTGCATAAAACATGAATAATCAATTATTTCTGATCCTGGATTCCATTTGTAATGTTTCTGATATTTGAGGAATTCATACCCACATATATCAGGTTCATGAGATCACAAATTTAATTAAAGGTTAGATGACTTTGATTCCAAATCTCCAAACATGTAGCGTCCGTCTTTCTTTCTTTCTTTCTTTCTTTCTTTCTTTCTTTCTTTCTTTCTTTCCTTCCTTCCTTCCTTCCTTCCTTCCTTCCTTCCTTCCTTCCTTCCTTCCTTCCTTTCATTGTTTCTTATTGAAAGCTATTGATATCAGGGTCATAACAAGGTGTAACTACATACATCCTGGAAGGTATTACAATGGCAGGTTTATAATATAAATTATGTTTATATGCTGATGTTATCTTGGCAATTTATTTTTTATTTATGTATTTATTTTATTAGTTTGTCAAACATGTACAAGATAGCAGGTATAAATATGAACATGGACATGAACGAAGGAAATGAATACAAATAAATGGGGATGGTAGGCATGCTGGTGCGCTTATGGATGTCCCCTTTATGACCTCTTAGGAATGGGGTGAGGTCCACAGTAGATAGTTTAAGGTTGAATATGTGAGCGTTTGAGGATGTTTGGGGTAATTCTTCTATGTTATCGCCTGATATGCTGCAAGTGAATCAACAATTTAGAATTTTTTTCAGTTTATAAAATTAATAAGGAAAATCTAGTTTACTTCCTTTGGAATATAAAATGTCAATACACCAATATAATGTATTTTAGTCAAATAAATATATTTCCAAGGAAATCTATATAGCAAGGGGTCATCTAGAACTTCATGAGCTAAATTAACAATATTAAATTGGTTATTTATTTTATCATTTATATATTTTTTCAGTCATCTACAAAGTTTTCAGCAGGACAATAACAAAAAGATTTGAGAACATTAAATGATGCATAGCCAAAGGAGCAGACAGAGTTCAGAAGTGGCTGCAGTTCAATGGATCACATCCAGGTTTTTCAACAAGTCATTGAAAGGCACAGTGAGTACACCATGCCTCTGTGCATGGCTTTCATTGACTACAAAAAGGTATTTGACTCAGTATTCCAGCAATCCATAATCAATGCATTGCTCAACCAAGGTGTAGACACTACATACATAAACTTACTACAATCAATATATGAAAAAACAATGGTGACAATTTGTCTTAATGAACTTAAAGTGGTAAGCAACATAGAACAAGGTGTACAACAAGGCAAAATAATATCACCTATCCTTTTCTCAGCCTGCCTTGAAGAAGTATTTCGCAAATTAGACTGGCCAAACATGGAATAAAAATCAATGGCACCTATTTAAATCACTTAAGACTTGCAGATTATGTTTTCTTCTCACAAGACCAAGAATAGCTACAAAGACACATACAAGAGTTGCACAAAGCAGAAGAATCAATTGGCTTAAAAATAAACCTGAAAAAGAGCCAGGTTATGTTTAAATGTGTAAATTCAAGAAAGAGAGAATTTTTTTATATATCTGGAGAAAAACAAGATATAGTAGACTGCTACATATACCTTGGCCAATGGATTTCAATGGTAGGGAAATTGAACAGCTGTTAAATGTGGTTGGCAGGCATTTTTTGGCAAGCTAAGCAAAATTTTCATAAACAATCTCTCCCTATGCCTGAAAAGAAGTTTTCAATTAGTGTGTGCTATCTGCTCTAACATATGCCGGTGAAATGTGAACATTAACCTCAGAATTGATACAAAAGCTATGGGTGGCTCAAAGAGCCATGGAAAGATACATGCTCAGCATTACAAGACAAAATAGAAAGACTAGCACATGTATTAGAGAACAAGTAAACATATATGATATCATCAAGAGAGTAAAAAAATGGAAATGGAAATGGGTTAGTCACATAGCAAGGACAACTGATGGCAGGGGACCAAGACAGTTTCAGAATGGATCCAACTTGATAAAAAGCGTCCGTGAAAGAGATCCAAAACAAGATGGATTGATGACATTATCAAGTATCGTGGGCCCAATTGGCAAAAGAAAGCTCAGGACCATATTGGTTGGAAACATGCAGAAGAGGCCTTCATCTTGCAGTGGATAAATAATAGTTAAAATGATGATGATATTTATGCAGAATGAACAGTTACTGAATACCTACCTATCCTTATGGATTTATTTAGAAATCAACAGAGAAAGAAAGTCTTTTGTTGCTTGGTTTACATGCAAACATATTGGGCCATGCTGGTAGATTGATTGATTTTGATACTGAATTTCATGAGTGGCCAACTGGTAAAATATGCCCTAGTTAGAAGGTTACATACAGTATGTGTATAGAAGTATTAATCATAATAAACATATGATCTGCTTGTAGTATTGAGTTTTATTATATCATGATCACTGATCTCAATAAAATTCTATTCTACTTCAGTTTTCATAGAATAGGTGATAAAATGTTATATTAGAAAATATGGGCATGGTCTAAAACCATGATGGCAAACCTATGGCACACGTGCCAGAAGTGGCACACAGAGCCCTCTCTGTGGGCACACGTGCTGTCGCCAGCTGGTCTTCTGGTTTCCCATGTGCACATGCGTGCCAGCCAGCTGGTCTTCACGTGTGCCGGGACACCAGAAACCTAAAGACCAGCTGGCTGGTGTGCACACGTGTGCACGCACACATTTTCCAGTTTGGGCACTTGGTATCGAAAAGATTCACCATCAGTGGTCTAAAATAATAATTTTAAATCAATTATTTTGATTTATCTATATTGGTCATTATGTTCTAGACATTAAGCTACCTCAAAGAAGAATGAGATGCTATCATATTTTATTAAATTTATTTACTGATATGTATGATTTACAGCAGAGGCTTCCAAATTTTCTTGTTTCAAAGAATCCTGACTAATTTTGTAATTTTTTTCATGTAGCCCTTAGAGCAAAAATAGTAGTTTGAGAGTTATGATACCCAGGTTAGTATTTCATGTAGAATACAAAGAGTTTGATATTATTGTTTTTCCCTTGAAAACACAATACATAGTTTGGCATCATGGATTTATGAAATAAAAAACTGTAATATCACATAAATATCAATAAATCAAAGTCTTTTTTAAAAAATAAGTTTTTTTAATAATGATAATCCATCGAACAATTTTTTTTATTTATTTATTTATTTATTTATTTATTTATTTATTTATTTATTTATTTATTTATTTATTATATTTCTATACCGCCTTTTTCCCGTAGGACTCAAGGCGATGTACAGCCAAGAAAAATATAGACACACAAACATCATAAAATTGCTAATTAAAATTATTACTTAGTTTGGCCAATTAAATAAAACCCAGAATTAGATAACATTTTAAAAAATCATTCACATGTTCATATGTTTAGCCCCACCTGTTGGAACATCAGGGTCTTGAGGGCATGGCGGAAAGCATGGAGATCAGGAATATTCCGTATCTCCGGGGGCAGTTCATTCCAAAGGGTTGGAGCCCTCACAGAGAACGCCCTCCCCCTGGGAGTCGCCAGTCAGCATAATTTGACTGACGGTACCCTGAGTAGTCCCTCCCTGTAAGAATGAACTGGTCAGTGGGAGGCTATTGGTGACAAAAGACGGTCTCGTAGGTTCCCAGGTCCTAAGCCATGGAGCACTTTAAAGGTGATGACTAACACCTTGAACTGCACCTGGAAGACCACCGGGAGCCAGTGCAGCTCACGCAGGAGAGGTGTTACATGGGCGCAATGAGCTGTGCCCATAATCACCCACATGGCTACATTCTGGACCAGCTGGAGCCTCCGGGTGCTCTTCAAGGGGAGCCCCATGAAGAGAGCATTACAGTAGTCCATACAGGAGGTGGCTAGGGCATGAGTGACTGTGCGCAACGCATCCTGATCCAGAAAGGGATGCAACTGGTGGATCAGGCGAACCTGATAAAAGGTCCCCCTGGCCACGGCCGTCATGTGCTCTTCTAAAGATAGCTGTGAATCCAGGAGGACACCCAAGTTGCGAGCCCTCTCTGTGGGGAGTAAGGTCTCATCCCCAATTGTCAATGATGGTACCAGCTGACTATACTGGGACGCCGGAAGCCACAGCCACTCAGTCTTGGAGGGGTTGAGTCTGAGCTTGTTTCTCCCCATCCAGATCCGCATGGTCTCCAGGCAACAGGACATCACAGTAAGGGCATCACTGGGGTGGTCTGGAGTGGAGATGTATAACTGTGTGTCATCAACATACTGATGAACACTCACCCCGAAACCATGGATGATCTCGCCTAGCAGTTTTACATAAATGTTGAACAGAAGGGGTAAGAGGACTGACCCTTGCGGCACCCCACAAATAAGGTGCCTCGAGGTTGACCTCTGCTCCCCTGCCAACACAAACTGCGAACGGTCAGAGAGGAAGGAGGAGAACCACTGAAGCAAGGTGCCCCCTATTCCTAACCCCTCCAGCTGGTGCAGTAAGATACCATAGTCGATGGTATCAAAAGCCGCTGAGAGATCTAATTTATTGGACTCCTTAAAGACTCCTCCTCAGAAAGGATGGAGTATGAATTTCTTTATCGGTGATGTAAAACATTTATGGATACATTAATTTATATCATTTTATTATGACTGGTTGAGATTTATTTTTACAAGCATAGCAGATAAATATGTAGATATGTGAATAAAAGTTTTCAAATTAAATATGCCAAATTTATTTTTAAATATTTCACTTATAAAAAAATATAAATTTAAAAATATTTTACAACAAATAAAGAATTTTATAAGATACTTCAAAAAATTGCAGCTTCCCGCAATAACACCAGAGGAACATCGTACATCTTAAGAAGGTACTTGGTTAATACCTAGGACACTGGCAGCAACCTGTATCAACCATTAGCATCAGTCAATGGTATTTGTGACACATTTTTGAATGTTCAGTTGACTGACTTCATGTTTAATGAATAAAATAGATAATAATAATGATAATGATAATGATAATGATAATGATAATAATAATAATAATAATAATAATAATAATAATAATAATAATAATAATACTTTTCTTGTTTGAAGATTACTTTGTTTCTCTTGTTTGAGTTGTAATATCTCCCACTGCATGAATTTCAGTAGACTAAAAATAGTTTGAGATGCTTGGCATAACTCCCAGAGTTTCTTGCAAACTGACATGTTAGTACCCAACTAATTTATCAGGAGATGAGAACCTAATTATGAAAGAAATTTCCCTTTAACTCATATAGAGCAATGGTTTTATATGCTTTAAATTATTAGAAGGTGGAAGGATTTTTCAATATCAAACATTTAGAACCTTTAGAGATAGTTTGTTACTGGGTTACTTCAGTGTTGAAGTAATTAACTACAAATGGTTGATTAACAATGTGAGAAAGAACTTAAGCATGGACTCAAGAATTATCCATTGAAAATGAGATATCAGGATCCAGATTTTTTTCGCTCTCTGCTCTATTTCGACCTCAAAGATAACTAAATTCTGTTGTGCTTTTTGAAACTAACACAGAAAATAAATTATAGATTTTTATTTTGAAGCAATTTCAAATATATATCTAGACAATTAGGTGTACATAATCATTGAATGTTTAAGTATGTTCATATACTGCATGAAAAGAAAAGTAAGAAAGATTTTAGGACCATTTAAAACAGAAATTTGGACTTAGAAGATACAAAACATATATCTTTGGGATGGAACATGAATGGAACACCACCAAGATCCCACCTAGGAATCTAAGCAATTCAGAGGTAAATCTTCACATATTTGTCATATTCTGTGTAATATATTCATAGCAGAATATATTTCATTTATATAATCTGAGTTTTATGAGGAGATAATTATTAAATTGATAGGTAATAGGCAGATAGACAATAATTGGATAAAAGATTGCTATTATTTCTGTAATAACTGAAGAATAACATATTCTTTATATGTACATACTCTACATACATATAGAGTATATACGTATTCTAAATCTGAGTACTTTGTAAACAGTTTTCCTTAATTCAATAAATTTATCACTTGCTTTAATGAACTTTTATAAAAGTAGATTATCTAGGTATTTTAGAGATAAAGTAAAAACATGCAAAATCCAGAACATAACAATAACATCAATCTGCTAAAAGCAAAGAAGCAAAAATAACTATTACATGGTACAAGTTGGTAGAATATCTATTATTCCTTTTGCAGGCAGTCAGTTGTTTTATTTCAGTCACCAAATAAGTTGACTAGCAGAACAAACATCCCCACCTTTTAATTTCAAGGGTTTACAAAAGAAATGGAAAAAAAGACTTGGAATGGTTAAAATAGCATTTTGTGTACTAATCATAAATTAATGTGCCTATATTACTTAGTATTTGACACTTATTTATAGGAAATTGCATTACTGTTATTCAGGAGCAAAAAGTTAGGGGTTAGAACCTGGTCAGATGAGTATGTAATGCATTACCCTTCTACATATCATGCAAAACTGTCAGAAGCAGAGCTACTGTTTTAGGCTAGAGGAACATCAAGAAGAGAAGATATGTCCCAATTTTAATGAGAATCCTTTCTTTTCTCTTTAAAATAATCACTTGGCATGGATCTTGTGGTCCATGCTGCATCTAGCTTTGTCTTAAAGTGAAAAAGGTAAAGCCTGATATAGGATCAGAATCTGAGATAAAAATCTACAGTGAAACATCTCATTGTTGAAAAATATATTTGTTTTTGTTGAGAAGGAAAAACAACCATAGACGGATTTGTGTATCAAATTGTGTAGAGAAAATTCATATATGCTTCTTCTCTTTATCTTAAAATAATCTTTTAATGAGACTGATTGGCAGCAAAAGGACAGAAGAAAATATATTCTTAAATGAAGCAAATTTAATTTATAGAATTGATTAATGCATAATGAAAGCCACTAGGAAGAAAGTTTTGAAAGAAGATCAGACACATCAATTTCATAAAAATCCAAAGGATATCTGTCATAATTCTTTACAAATCCATAAACAAAAATAGATAGATTTGGGTTTTTTGTTTGATTTATTTAGGCAGTGAGTAGCTGTGAAGATAATGATATTGGATAGACTGGGATTGATTTCAAGGTGTATGTAATCTAGGAAGTAACACACAAAACAAGCAAGATTTAAAATGTCAGTATAGGTTTTCTTCAAAGAAAAGTAGCATAAGGTGTTTTTAGTGAAGAAGGATCAGTGATGAAATGGGTACCTAGCTATGTGTTGGCTATCTCCTTTTCTCCCTATTTAACCCTCTCTTATTTTTACCCTCTAGGATTCTAGAATCTAGATCTATACCAACAGTTTCAAATATGCAATTGTGATTATACAGTAACAAATTTGTACAAACAAAGGAATGTCTCTTATGAGATTTTTATTTGTGTGCTAGAGAGGATAGGAGAAAAGGAAAGAGTTTGCTTTCATGGATTATGCAGTTGATGAAAAGAGTCAGAATAAAAAAACAGCAAGTGATTTCATTCTTTTACAATTTTTGAAACTGTTGATTATACATGTTTTAAATTGGGAGAAATTAACAAGTTTTAACTATCTTGTTTTGTAACACATTAAATAACAGCCACATAAATATCTGACTCTACAAATATTTAACCTACTGGGGAAAAAAACTTCTGTGCAATAATGCTTAAGGTGATCCTTTTATTTCCCTGATCCTGGTTCTTCTTCACTGAAAAGCTTACATTATGGGGGGGAAAAACTTTCTCAAAGTCCTTTTCCAGACAAAACCAATGGCTAATAACTATACAGTTGTATAGTGGTATAAATTGCAAACGGACCATAATTAATTATTTCCATTTCATATAAGACTGATTGTGACAGAGGAATAGAACTTTCCTAGTTTGAAGCTGAACTTACAGTTTAACTTTAAAGATAACTTAGTCTTCAAAGAATAGTTCTAGTCTTTGGGGAAAAAGGGAGGCACAGTACTCCCACTACTGTCTTCCTTACAGTCTCTAACTCTGAGTCAGGTTGCCTTCCTTAAATTCAAAATTTTAAAGAAAAAAGATGAGAAATTATGCTGATTTATTTATTTTGCAGAAACAAATGCTCTCCTCAACTGAACAAACATTTCCTGCAAAACACAAAAATGTATTTGGAGAACTCATGCTGAGAAAATCCAAAGCATGTGAAATACTTAGGATAAGTGCAGGATAAGTGCTCTCACTTGCCAATTTGTTGCCTGAATTCCTTGAGTCATTCTGGTTGGCAGGGCTCTAAAAAGTTCCCAATATTCTTTGTAAGAAGAGAATCTATTTAAAAAAATATAAAAATATTCTAGGCTGTACAGATATATGATACCCAATCTCAGTGGTGAAATGTAAAATTTGTTACTACTGGTTCTGTGGGTGTGGCTTGGTGGTGGTGGTGGTAATATGACTGAGTGGGTGTGGCCAACTTTTTTTTTTACTTTTAAAATCATTTTTTCTACAACCTCTTTGGCTGAAGAGGTTGTAAAAAAAAATGCTTTTAAAGCCTCTGATGATCCCAGCTGACTTGCCTGATCGGCAGAGGCTTTCTTTTTTTTAAAAAAGCCTCTGATGATCCCAGCTGACTTGCCTGATCGGCAGAAGCTCTTTTTTTTTTAAGCCTCTGAGGATCCCAGCTGACTTGCCTGATCAGCAGAGGCTTTTTTCCCCTTTAAAAACATTTTTTCTATAACCTCTTCATCCAAAGAGGTTGTAGAAAAAATGTTTTTAAAAGCCTCTGATGATCCTAGCTGAGCCGCGCGATCATCAGAGGTTTGTTTTTTTACTTTTAAAAGCATTTTTTCGGCCAAAGAGGTTGTAGGAAAAATGCTTTTAAAAATTAAAAAAAAGTTTCTGATGATTGCGCGGCTCAGCTGGGCAATGGGGGGAGGGCAGGAATTTTTGCTACCGGTTCTCCGAACCACCTGCCTCCATCGCTACCAGATTGGGTTATCCGGTCCAAACCGGGAGCATTTCACCCCGGCCCAATCTCCATTATTTAATGGAAACAATTGAGAATAATAAACTAAACATCCAAAATGTTTTCAGAAAAAATATTAGACTCTGGTCTTAAGGAAAAATGGAATGATGGAACTTTGACCACCAAGATTAATATAATTTGTTATTTTTACTTCAGAATTACTCTACTTTCCACCAGCAAGAAGGAAATCGATCAACTACTACAGAATTTATCCTTCTGGGATTTGGCAATCTCCTTGAACTGCGAATAATCCTCTTCATATTATTTCTTCCAGTTTATACTTTGTCCATTGCTGGAAATCTCCTAATTATTTCACTGGTTGTGATTGACCAGCATCTTCACAATCCCATGTATTTTTTTCTTGTTAATTTGTCTTGTTTGGAGACCTGTTACATTTCAACTATCCTGCCCAGGATGCTAGCTAGTTTTATAACTGGAGATCAATCTATATCAATCTACGGATGCATCATACAATACTATTTCTTTGGATTTTTTGCAGCCACTGAATGTTATCTTCTGGCAATGATGTCTTATGATCGATATTTAGCAATATGCAAACCACTACATTACAACATTCTCATGAATAGTAGGCTCTGCCTCCAACTGGCCCTCACATCTTGGATAAGTGGCCTTTTGACCAACACTATCATAACCTCTTTTCTGCTGGAACTTACCTTCTGTGGACCCAATGAAATTGATCATTTCTTTTGTGATATATATCCAGTAGCAAACATTTCATGCAGCAATACACGCTTAGTAAAGCTTGCTACATTTATTTTAGGCATAATGGGAACAGGGCCACCCTTTCTCATAACAGTGGCCTCATATATCTGTATTCTTCATAATGTCTTGCAAATTAATTCTAAAACAGCACAACAGAAAGCCTTTTCCACATGTTCATCCCATCTGATTGTAGTGACACTTTTCTATGGGTCAATATTTCTTGTCTATATAGTTCCAGAAATTGAAACACTAAAAGAGCTACACAAAATATTTTCTATATTCTATACTGTCCTGACTCCCATGCTCAACCCTCTTATCTACAGCTTGAGAAACAGAGAGGTGAAAGAAGCTCTCTTCAAAGTAATCAGAAAACATAGCAACAAAATTTCATAATCTCATAGTGCTATAAATGTTTTGGTGAAGATCAGGATATTCAGAAATGATTTTTTCTACTTTCTAAATAAAATTATCCTGATCCACATATATCCTTCAGTGATGACCAGATCAAATGTATGTATGTATGTATGTGCAAATACATATTTAAATAATTTATTTTATTTTTATTTTTTATTTTATTATCAAATTTCTCTACCACCCTACTCCTGGAGGACTCAGGGCAGTGAACAGCCAAGGTAAAATACAGATAATACAAACATTAAAAGTCCATTAAAATTATTAAATATTTTGGCCGAAAAACAAATTTAAAACACCCAATTTATAAAACAAATCAAACGATTTAAAAATTTAAAAGGGAGAGTTAGACCAGGCCAGCCTGCTGAAATAAAAATGTTTTGAGAGCACGATGAAACGTGCGCAGATCCGGGATCCTCCGTATCTCTGGGGGGAGCTCGTTCCAGCTGGTAGTATTCCAAAATGGAATTTTAATGGAAGCACTCAAGTGTCTTTCTGCTTTTAAAATTTCATTTTATTGCAGAAATGGAACAAAGTAAGTCTGCAAAGTGGTATGATCCAGAAATCCATTTTTCATTCTTTATCAGCAAGAAATTATGGTCAGTTTGCTATGCCCCTAAAAGATACTCAAATGTTAGTGTTCCTTTTTGCAGAGTCAGGAAGTTCAGGGACAGCCTTAATAAGTCTCCAAAGTGTATGTCTGCTACAAAATAATGCACTATCCTCCTCTTTTTCTCTTCCCACTCCCAAAGCATTTCCTTTTTTGCTGAATTTTATCTACTCTGTATTCCCCAACATTCACATATATAAAATCTCATATAGTGAACTTTAACAATTTTGTATTACTATTCCTCATATCCCTGACCATTGGCTGGAAGATATGGAAGTCATAGCTCAGCAGATCTAAGCAAGATCTAAGTTGGAGAAAATATTTTAGGAGTACCTTTTCAGAAACCTCCAAATTCAGATTTAATAAAATTCAATACCCCTTATTTGCATATTAGATTATTCATAATTGTGAATACTTTGAAATGCAATGTATACTCTTCAAATACTCATCACTGGAGGTTTTTAAGAGGAGATTGAACAGTTATGTTCAGAATGGTCATGCCTGAGCAGGGGGTTGGACTAGAAGACTTCCAAAGTCGATTTCAATTCTGCTTTCTCTATTCTGAAAATACATTTTTTTTCAGACATATGTTATGCATATATTTGGCATGGCAAATAGGGCAACAATTTTTGAACCAAAGTGTTCAAATTGGCTAACTGATAGTGTCCAAAATCTGGAACCCTTGATTCCTGAGGGAATGAAATTTGGTGAAATTGTGCCTGCTTCAGCACTATTGATTGCTACTGCAATTTTGGGCTGCTGCAGTCACATGATCATCATTTTCCACATTCTGGAACATTTTTCTCAGTCAGTCTCACAATCCAGACACCCTCATGCCCTACTCTACTCCTAACAGCTACTTACCTGCTTGTGGGAAGGGAAAGAAGAAGGGAAAGAAGAAGGGAAAGGGGAATCAGAAAGGGAACGGACAAAGAAAGGGAGATTTCTAGTACTTCCTGTCATATTCCCATAAGGAAAGGCAAGATGAAAGCTGGCAGGAAGTTGGAAAATGCTCCTACTCCCACTGTTTCTGCCCATTCTTGGTCATTCTGCTTCTCTTTTCTAGATAATGAAATATTTCTAAATGATGTCCCAGTTGGGGTATAATTTAGGTTTTTTTTCCTTATCTTCTTATTTAAGATATTCCTTATCTTATGGTCTTTGTTCATTTTTCTTTTGTTACTTATATCTCAGTCTTCAGAATTCTTTTAACAATTTCCCCTCTTTCTCTTTCTCTTTCTCTGTCTATCTATATCTATCTATCTATCTATCTATCTATCTATCTATCTATCTATCTATCTATCTATCTATTTTATTATATTGTTGTGTAAACTATAGTGTTTTGCTATGTAACAGTTATTTTTTGACCATGGAGTGCATATAAACAGTTCATAAATTAGTTCATTAGGTCTGACTGACCCCATATTAGTACCTTTACTTATTCCATTTTTAATTTTAGGTTGCAAATTAATAAATTATAAACCAAATAGTTTATAATTAATAATAAACTAGATAATGAAATCACATTCAATTAAATTAAAAGCTATATATGAAAAATCACAAAAAGTACTAATATTTTTTTCATGATTTTAACATCATAAACTTTTCCCTAGATCTATACTAAATTGAGCATTTAATTGGTGATTGGATGCACAGCTTCTTATTTATATTTAATTTAATAAAGACATAAAACAACATTTCTATGAAAAATCTCAGAAAGTTTGATTTCCTTCCATCTCAAGCTCTACATGGAAAATATGAAAATAAGATAATAAAGTTTCTTCTGGGAATTGACATCTTTATTAAGGCATAGGTTTTGAAGAGCCACATGCTTGGTTGGATGCTTATACAATCAAATTGAGATAGGACAAATACATATACTAATAATTATCATGTGAAAATTTTATTCAAGCTTCCTGGTTACCTCCACTCCCCATAGCTGCTTATTAGGCAAGCACACTGAATTTCATTCCTTATTTCCACAGCTGATTTGTCATGATTCAGAAATTAAGCAGAATTGGGAATTGCTAATACTTTGATGGTAGATGCCAAAGAATCCCAGAACTATAGTCCAGATAAGAAGTTGAAGTAGGAGTTGAGGTGTACCTTGGAAGAAGCCAATACAAAAGTTTTCTATATTGTTATCAAGAAAACAATATAAATCTATCCATGAAATCACTAGGACACAAACATGACTTGAAAAATTTTAGATTTATACCTCAAGGACACATTTATAATAGACTTGAGACTTTAGATTTATACCTCAAGGATACATTTTTAGTCAAAAAGAAAATGTAATTAGTGCATGTAATTACAAAGAGTTATGATGACTTCACTCTGGGAAAATTATGCATGCACATTTTCTTTTCCTTTTCTGTTTGAAAGTTATTTTGCTGCCATTGTTTTATTTGAAATCTCTTCAACTTTAGTGGCAACTTTAGTGGGCTTTTAAAAATAGTTTGAGATGCTTGTGATAACTCCAGAATTTCTTTCAAAATGGCATTTTAACACATACCTAATTTATTAGATGAAAACCTAATTAATAAATACCTTTCTCAGTTAATACATGTGGAGGAATTATATTTATCTGTTTTAGACTATTAGAGAATGGAAGGTTTTCTCATCATCAAGTATCTTTCTAGATTTAGAGATAGTACACACTTGAATTATTTCAATGTTGAAATAGTATGCTGCAAATGATTAGGATAAAATAATATTACTTAAATATGCTGTTATGTTGAGGCTTGAAGGCATTATTTCATATCCCATGTAAATGTGTTTGTTCCCAATCCAATATGCCTTTAAAACATTATTTTTGCTTGTTGATGTCTTTTACTTTCAGTCATTTTCCCCTTTTCCTTTCATGTTTTCCTTTTTTCTTCTTTCTCTTCCCTTTATTTGCAATTTTCTCTAATGCCTTCTTAGGGGGAAAATGTGGTTCAGACTGACATTCTGGGACATCAGAGTGTTCATGAATGTCAGGCATAGTTGTGCAAGACAAAGAATACTTTGCTTTCTAAATACTTAAAAGTAATATTTCTACTGTTTCAAATGCAAAAATGTTGGCAAATAAAGCAATATTCAGCCCACTGTGAATTTTAAGATTTACAGAAAAAACCTCAGGTTAAAGTATAGATTTGTTTTGAATGCCTCAACTTGTATATTAGCATGGCAACCTCAGAAATAAATATTGTGAAACTCCTAAATAAAGTCTGAATTATCCTCTATTCATGCCTTTTAAAATCTTCATTCTGTTTTTAATTTACAGATTACTTAAACGAGACAAATAATTTACTTTCATTTGAAGATACAAGAGATATGCTAAATCAGGGGTGTGAAATCAAGGCCTGTGGGCTGCATCCTGCCAGTGATATTGTACTGGAAATGTAAGGGGCCAGCCTGCATTGTTTTGGCTCAGTCTATCCACATTGCTTTGGCCTGGTCTACCCATGTTGCTTCACCCTGGTCTAACCAATGTGAAGAGGAAACATCGGGTCAGTGTGGCTTTGGTCTGGTCTACCCAATGCCACCAGTTTGGGGAGTGGTGTCAAGCTGGCCATGCCCCCCCAGCCCCCCCGAGGTCAATCACAGCCCTGATGTGGCCCTCAATGAAATTGAATTTGACACCCCTGTGCTAGATAGTTGTGAAGAATGATGTATCAAAAAACTATAAGGGGTGCCTATGCATTTTCTTAAATTTTTTCCTGCTCCTGGATCACTTCTGAAGTGACTCATTAGTGTTCTTGAGAGCATTCTGTAAATACAGTATTCAAGCAACAATCTTAACCCTTAGTTTACACAAACAGTGCAACTATTTTTCAGCAACTGTGTTTGAAAGTGTTCCAAGGGCTACATAGTAGAGATTTGTGGAGTACATGTTACTTGAGACATCAGGTTGTCATTCCTATCTGAAAAGCATGAATTTGAAAGAGAAAAAGGTCAAGTTACAGAAGTAACAAAGCTATCTTTCAAATAGCAGAAGGGTGTCTTCTGAGGCAGAAAAATACTCAGCCACCTTGTCTTAAAAAACATACTATGCAGCCAACTGCTATCTAATCCATTATTTTCCCAAATCTGAAGCTTCACAATAAAATAAAAGAAGAGACAGAGAGAGAAGCAGAAAGGGCGGCTGTTAGGACAATGTATTTTATTTCCTATGAATATATCAATCCAATAAACAACTTTTGGCTTTCTAAAGCTAGCCCTATCTATTCCATGCCTTAGTTTCCTTGTAAATGCCACATTAACTGACCTCTTGTAGAATAGAATGAGTCATCAAGTGCAGCAGTTAGGAAGGCAGGAAGAGCACAAAGAAGAAATGTTGAAGGGATCATATTACTGATCAGCAGGTTCCAGCCTATTCTGGGCCAATATTCAGCACTGTCTGCTTTCAGGAACGGAGAGTTGTAACATACCATTTCATGCTGCAAAATTCGGTGGTCCTTCTGTGAATGGAAGAATTTTTATTGATTGCCAGAATTTATAAAATCTGAACATTCAGAGGAAAGTTACTACTGACTCCGTGGTCCCTACAAAGAAGCCTGGAATACAAAATGGAAACAAATGTAGCTGGAAAGGTAATGTGGCTGCCTCTATTTTCATACGTCAGTAAAATTAAAAACACAGCTGTACTTTTTTTTTGTCTACATGATGCAATAAAACAGCACTAATGAATGCAGACATTTCCTTCCTCCCAATATCATAAAATTTTAATATAATGGATCATTAAAGGGAAGGGACATCTGTTAAATCCAAGTTTGTGTCTTTGGTGTAATTCATACTATTTGTATTTACATAATTTATATCCAAATTGATAAAAATGATATAAAAACAAAATATACATGTATACAAATGATGTAAATTGATGCACACGAGTCGCTTATCTGAATTGTTTTGGAAAGAATGAACTATTAATTGTCTTTTGTGTGGGGGTAATCTGAATAAGAAGTATGGCATCCAGTCGATTTGTACTATTCTGGACAACTGAGATTTTAATGCAAGTTATTGCAATGTTATTTGAAAGGATTTTATGTGAACATTATCTCTACAGCAATTACCCAGCTAATCAGTTTGTTTGTGAGTCAAAATGTGACATTAATTCCCCTTGATGTCAAACTTGCTAGTAAAGTTGAATATATTTTTCCCGTGTTTGTTTTGTATGTGTATTTCTTAGGGGACAATCAAAGTACGAATTTCAAAATCTCTCTCAGATGGTGAAGAAGTAGCTATAACTGCTCGGAAGAAAAAGGTGGAAAAAGCTCTTACTAAGCTTGGGATGCAGTGTGATTCGGTAGGTTTTCATTGATATGTCTACCTGAGCAGAACTAGTAATAAACCAAGATAAATGTCACAAAATCTTTGAAGATCTTTCATCTAATGAAGTCAAAATTTAAGCATTTGTTGTTTAATTTAAAAGGCTTTCTGTGTCACTAGCCCTCCTGTTTCCTAGGTCTTTGAAAGCCATGTTTAATTGATATTAAAATATTTCTGGAGTTACCTTTTTTCCAGGTTTATGGCAGTGTTTAATATGTTAAATATGTTTCCTAGACAACTATAGACATACAGATTGGGGGAAAAAATCTACATAATGGTAGTTAACGAGAGAGATACTGCTTTCTTCATCTTTTTGCTCCTATCTCATTGTCATCCAGATATTTTCAGATCAGGTATGGTAGTCATGATAAGCTTTTTCCATTTCTTCATAACCTTCTCCAGATTTTGATTTTTCCTTCATTTCCTCTTACCAAAGAGATCAAAAAAATGCCTCCAATTTAATAAAGCCTCTACAATGTATTTGGCAATAAACAATAAAAAGGCAACTATATAGAGAGCAAGGGAGAGTAATAAAAGAGGGATTGTAAGAAAATCCTTTGATTCTTGGGTCAAGCAGTAGAAATTTGCCTCAAGCTATTGAACTTGTCTGACTATCATAAGGCAGCTGAACGTTCAAAAGAAAAAGAAAAGCTGAGGGGCAGAATAAGAATTTTCTGAAAATAAGAAAATAAAAGTTAATTTCAGTAGCTGCAGAAATATAGCAGAGGCCATCTCAGAATGGAGAAATGATGGGAGAGGTTAGGAGTTTAGTTTCCAAATCAAAAAGAACAATGAAACTAGTTGCTAGTTGGTGATATCCTTTGGGAGGGTAATACAACTGCATTGTTAAAATGCAAAATTGGCAAATTGTTTCCTTGAAATTCAGGTTTTGCTTGTATGGTCCAGTCTAAATGCCTGCTTTATTGCTATCTTTCACTGGGGGTCATATATGAACTGCAGGCAAAAATGTCAGTTATGCACTACTAAAAATATTATATATTAAGCTATGTTAGTTGTTAAATAGCTTTAAAAACAAATTATGCAAATATCAAAATATGCAACCTACTTGAATGAAAATATCAAATAATATCTATAAAAAGATGTCCCTACATTCAATAAATATTTTCTGTATATCCAAATCTATGATGCACTGACAATGGTCTAGAAGTGTCTTGCACAAATAATTTACTTCTCTGTTGTAGCTCACCTTTTTTCAAGCCTGAAAAAGGAAGCTGATTTAAAAAGTCATCTTAAATTTAATGCAGTTCTTAAAATAACCACATTTTTCTCCCTTTAGGGTCTTATGTTATCCTGAAAAAAAAAAAAGATGAGTTGCTTTAATAAAGAGTAGAAAAGTGCTGCACTTGTGCTCATGCTTATTATGAAGTATTTCTTCTGAATCATTGTTAAAACAAGTTTCAAGTATGGCTGTTTTAAGTACCTACTTATATTCTTAAATATAAGAACCTCAGCAAGTTGTAACCCCTTGCTGACCTTGTCTGATTTTGAAAATTAAAGTTATTTGAATAAAAGAATACTAAGAAATTTGAGGATTATTGGCTAGATCGGGAAGTTGAAAAAGAAATCTAGGTATAAGGTAAGAGCAAACCTGTAGTATTCTGTTATTCAATAAACTGGATGGAGAGTTCCATGAAATACTAATAAAGAATTGTCTTTAATTCAGAAGACACGTGATCTTTATCTACCCATTTTTTATCCCATTAGGAGAACATCCCTAATATTGCTGTCCTAGGAGCAGGAGGAGCTATGAGGGCTATGATTGCACTGTATGGCACTCTAGTAGAACTGAAGAAATATAACCTTTTGGATTGCATCATGTACTTGGGTGGGGTGTCAGGTTCTACCTGGTAAGTCTATGTTACTGGTAGTTAAAGCAAATAGTTACTGCTAATAATTACGTTTGCATTACTAGATCAGTTCATCTTTAATCTCAACCACATCCTGTTGCCATTAGCAAAAGTAAAAAAATCCAAGGAGATTTGAAAGACAGCAATAACCCCTATGAGAACCAATTTTTTTTGTAATAGTTAAGGTATCATGCTAGAAACTGAGAGTCTGTAAATTCTAGTGCTGCCTTAGATACAAGCCAGCTAAGTCAGGGGGCTCCCAGCCCCAGCCCCTGGCCATGGCTCACTACAAGGCCATGAGCTGTTCAGAACTGAGCTGTGGAAGTGGCGGGTGAGCACATGTGCATGCATCCCCACTTGCATGAGCAGCAGAGAGCAGCAAGCACATGCACATGTGCTCTATTTGTGCAAATGGTATCCCCACTTCTGTGAGCAGTGGGCAAGCAGCAGGTAAGCATGTGTGTACATGCTCTTTTGCCTCCCATTTGTGCAAATGGAGCTGCACATGGATGTGATCTTGCCAGCCACTCACATGACCCTCTCCCCCCCCCCAGTTCACAAAGCCAGAAAAGCTGGAAAACTCTGAGATAGGTGACTTTAAGCTAGTCTTTCTCTCTCTCTCTCTCTCTCTCTCTCTCAGTCCTAGAAAGAAGGCAGTAGTAAACGATTTCTGAAAAACATTTCCAAGAAAACTGCAGGGACTTGTCCAGGAATTGAACATGAAAAAAGAAAAAAAAATATTTTTACACTGACACAGTATATATAATTTGTTTGTTATGGATCAGACTGTTACAGTGAAAATGATTTATCAATAATTATTTATGGTTTTGATTAGTGTATGAATCCAGCTAATTTTTTTTTTATTATTATTATTATTAACAAGCCATGCTTAATTATATTCCATTGGGATCCTTCAGTCTCAAGAGACTATGGTATCATGCTCTGGAAAGAGGTCCTAAAACACCTAAAAGTATAATACACCTAAAAGTATATTAGATGTTAGCAAAATATATAAATTTAAAATGATGAAAACATTAGAGGCCAATCTAATTTAACTAAAGAAACACTGGTTCTTCAATTAACAATATTAATCTGTCCCCATTTTTTTTCCTGTCCCCTTTCTAAAAAAAATTAGAGCTATTCTTGTAACTTCACACTAATTTTATTTATCTGGAAAAAAGATAAAAGACAAGACAGTGTCATTTCACACTGAAGTTACCTTCACTACAACAAAATAATTCCCAAGGGACTCCTATGATCTTATGCTAAAATAGCCCATGTTAAGTAGAAGTACCAGTGGAATTTCATACTGATTCTGCATTCCTTTAATTTTTGTATTCTTGTCTGCTGATTAAAATAAAAGTTTAAGCTATTCTTAACTCCTAGTAATGTGGCTTCCAAATAATTAGACATGGTATTTGGTAATTTACATATTTATGGTAATTGACATATTTATTATGGGATAAATTTTGGGGGATATAGCCTTCTTAATTAAATGCATAAAAGATTGTCTAACATTCATATATAAGTATGCATTGCACAAATATACATTGTTCAAAACCAATTAAAAACATGCTTTGAAAGCCATATTTGTATTCCAATTTTCTATGAGTAGATAATTTCACTTACAGTTATCTCTAAAGTTGTTAGTGAATTCTATGTTTTCTCTAATATTTAGAATTTTGAGAATTTTATGTTTACATAAATGTAGCTTTTGTTCTCATCACAATGAACATCAGATTTCAGATTCCTTATTTTATAGCATGAGCTATAAATAAATTCTTTGTGTGTGACTTTCATGTTGTCACAAAGATGGCTTCCAGGCCTGACACATGCATTTTCCCATTGTTCTAAAGACATTTGGCTCGTTCTTTTCAAAGGTGCTTGCCAACTCTATACAAAAATGAAGATTGGTCAGAAGAAATAGAGAATTTGAGTAACTGTCAGTTTGAAAATCTTGTCCAAGGCCAATGGGATGTTAATAAAGCAATGGAAGCTGTTCTAGAGGCTACAGAAGATGAATGTTACTCACTCACTGATTTCTGGTCCTATTTTCTTGTGCATAAATTGCTAAGAAAGGTGGGTAGAAAACAATATTCAGATTTCTTTGATAGTTAAAACAAATGAGCATCATTTTCTGATTTTGGGTCCCACTGGATGATCTCACTTGATGTCCTAGGAATTTAACAGATTTACAGAGTTGGAAGGGACATTGTAGGTCATCTAGTCCAATCCCCTGCCCAAGCAGGAGATCCTTTAGGTTTAGGTTTTTAGGTTTTATTTGATTTGTATACCGCCCTACTCCCGAAGGACTCAGGGCGGTGAACAGCCAACAATAAAATACATAAATACACAAAATTTAAAAACCTGATAAAATCAAATTAAACTTTTTGGCCCAGACAAATTAAAATACCCCAATAATTTAAAAACAGATTAAAATTTACATATTTTAAAAAGGGAAGAGATCAGGCCAAGCCCGCTTGATGGAATAAAAAGGTCTTCACAGCACGGCGGAAGGAACGCAGATCCGGGATCCTCTATATCTCCGGGGGGAGCTCATTCCAGATGGTAGGTGCCCCCACAGAGAAGGCTCTCCCCCTAGGGGCCGCCAGTCGACACTGTTTGGCTGACGGCACCCGGAGGAGTCCCTCTCTATGAGAGCGTACTGGCCGGTGGGAGGCTATTGGTGGTAGTCATTTCTGATAGATGTAGTCCAGTCTCTTCTTGAAAATTTCCAGTGATGAAACTCCCACAACTTCTGAAGGCAAGTTGTTCCATTGGTTGATTGCTCTCACTTTCAGAAAATTTCTCCTAATTTCTAGGTTGAATTATCTTTTATCAGTTTTCACCCATTATTCCTTGCCTGGCCTTTAGGTGCTTTGGAAAATAGCTTGTCCCCACTCCTCTCTGTGGCAGTCCCTCAAATATTGGAACACTGCTATCATGTCTCCCCTGGTCCTTCTCTTCACTAGACTAGCCATGCCCAGTTCCTGCAACCGTTCATCATATGTTTTAGCCTCCAGTCCCCTAATCATCTTGGTTACCCTTCTCTGCACTGTATGATGTATTACATTACATTATGTATAATGTAATGAATATAATCTAAAAATAGGATACCCATATCTTCCTGCATGTTATGAGTCAGGGCAACATCTCCCTTAAATACAGCAATGAACAGTGGAAAAAAAATAATTAAATCAAAATAAATTTATTTCAGTTTGAGGAAGGAAAATTGTCTGAGCATGCTGGATCTTGTGAGGGTGGAAAAAACCCTTATCCTATATATGCAGCTGTGAACAAGCAAACTTATCAGAATCAAAATGCAGGTAGGTATTTTTGCCTATATTGCAGAATTTGCTGTTTATCAGACAAAAACTGTTCAAATCACAAGTACTTACTTGTTAAAATCACTAATGTCAAATTCTAAAAAAAAACAACAATCGTTCAAAGCTTCTAAATGAAACATTTGCAAATAATCTTATGTTATATTTATTAACTAAGGGTCAGAAATATATGGGTGATTTATGCCTCACGTAGTGCAGCAAACCTCTGCAATAATAATTTTGTAATTGAACTTTTCTACAGGCAATAGCTTAGTCACAATGAAGTGACTATAACTGAACGTCATTTCCAGTTCTTTCATGTATATCTGAAAAAAATAGTTATAATTACATGGTGACACTATTGGATCAGAATCACTGTACATGCTGTAAATGAAATTTAATTTCTTCTATAGCCCATTTATTTCTACAGTCAATTCTATGTCTTTAAAAAGGGGAAATTAATAGTCTGTATCCAGATGCCATGATAAGAATAGGGAAATCTACAATAAACAATGGTTCTAAATTGTGTAAGGCATTTATCTTAATCTTAATCATAATCTTAGCCTATGTAGGATTGAGGAAAGTCCAGGTCTAGACAATGTAATAACTGTAATGTTACTAATTTTATTAGAATGTTAATTTTTGCTTTTTTTCCCCTGTAATGTTTTCAGGTACCTGGTTTGAGTTTACCCCTCATGAGGTTGGAATTCCTGGACTAGGAGCATATGTAGATAGTAAATACTTTGGGAGCATATTTCAAAATGGGCAGCTGATCAGAGAAAAAAGAGAAAAAAATATTTGTTATTTGCAAGGTACGTCATATCTGATTTCTTTTGCTCTTGAAACAAAGGAACACATTTTGTATTTGCATAGTAAATAGAAATGTAGAGAGGGGCTTCAGGGGCTCTTCAGGCATGCCACTGAAAATTTAAAATATGTAGTTCAAACAAATCATTTCATCAAGAGTTTTCTGGAATAAGTTGTTTAAGAACATAACTAAGAGCCATTAATAATCAAGGTACAAAGAAAGGATGGTGTATGGATACATTTCTTTCATTTTTCTGTGTTATATGGTGGAATTTTGTCATTTTAAAACAAATGGATCTCTTACAAACACTAGATTGTAATATGGGGGGGGGGATATTTTCCTTATTTTTAGGTTTATGGGGAAGTGCCCTTGGAGGCGAGCAAGAGATTTCAAAGACTATATCAGGTATTGCTCTTTTTGTGTTTGGATTAGTGTGATATTGGATTAGTCCATGAGTCAGGGGAGATCACAAAGAATTCATATACATGCTGAGTTACATATATTGAGCCAACTGTCTCTGCTTGCAGCCTTAGAATTTATGGTAGTAGCTTTCAAATCTTTAAGCCTATGAATTCCATTATCTGTCATCACATAGCTAAGGTTTATGAATGTTGAATTACAAAATATCTGAAGAGCAAAGATGTATTTACCCCAGTCCTAAGGAGTAAAAGATATGGAAGATATGTCCTACGTTGCCAAAAGAAGAGAATATATGTAGCTCAGAGCTGAACTGTGGAGACCTTGGTGTACCTTGAGCTTAATTTTTTCTTGTAGATGTTTCATTACCTGCCTATTGTTATTCTCCAGATATAATAATCCAACAATTGCATTCTCCAGATATGTTTTCATACCCTCTTTCTTTCTGTAATTATTGTAGTTATACATGGCAAACAAGGTAAACTCTAATGGAATGTCTTTCTAGTAGAAAATAGACTGGTTTAGTTGATTCTAGGCTCTTATTTTCTTGTTTCTGTTACAAATTTTCTGTACTGGGTATAATGTACAGTACATAGGATAATAGATTTCCCTGGTTTATACAAATATATCACTAAGTATTATACAGTAAATGCCAGGGAAGTGTTATGGTTTAAATTATAGAGATAGTCCAACATTTTGGCAACATGTTGACTAAAGCATCTTTCTGGTTGTTGAAAACTACATTGCAATATTGTGCTAGAAAAAGTAAACTAATTAGTTATAGCTAAGAATGTATTCATTTATCTTTTAAGATATGTTAAAATATATTGGCAAATATAAAAGATCAGAGGACCTTACTTCAAAAGATTTAGGTAAGATTTACAGCAAATATGTCCCTTTTTTTTACTCCCCCCCCCCACCGTAGCATTTTCTACTGCACAGTCTGTTTTTCAAGCAAATGTTGATCCTTAGGTGGCAATAGGATTCATGGATTGGTTTTTTACCTGAACCTGATATCATGGGCTGAGAGACAATGGCTGGCTTTTGTGCTTAAAGCAGGCCTAAACAGGCCTAAAGTCTCTTGGTTTCTAGTGTCAAACATCATTGGAGCTTTTTAAGAGACAGCCCTTTAACTGAAATAGTATAGGGCAGTGATGGCTAACCTTTTTGCCGTCGCGTGCCAAAAGTGGGGGTCGTGTGGGGGTGTCGCGCATGCATGTGCCCACACCCATAATTCAATGTGCCCCACCCCCACCACTCATGCACGTGTGACCCACCCACACTCCCCCCACTTTTGGCACATGATGGCACAGTGGGCCCAGTAGGCCTGTTTTTTGCTCTCCCGAGGCTCCAAAGGCTTTCTTGGAGCCTGGGGAAGGCAAAAACGGCCTTCCCCACCCCCAACGGAGGCTCTCCGGAGGCCAGAAAGAGTCTTTTTCCTGACTTCTGGTGGGCCCGGAAGGCCCGAAAATCAGGTGGCTGGCGCGCACATGCGTGCTGGAGCTGAACTAGGGCAATGCTCGCATGCCCACACATATGGTTCCACATGCCACCTGTGGCACGCATGCCATAGGTTTGCTATCATGGGTATAGGGTTTCCTGACTAAGCAGGAGATTGGACTAGTAGCCTCCAAGGCAGGGGTGAAATGCTCCCGGTTCGGTCCAGTTCACCTGAACCAGTAATAAAAAAAGGCTACTGGTTCGCCGAACTGATAGTAAAAGCTGTAAAAAAAAAAAAGTTCCAACAATCAGCTGAGCAACATGCGATCGTCGGACCTTTTAAAATAATAATAATAATAAGCATTTTTTTATTACCGATTCTCCAGAGCCGGTAGTTAAAAATGCTTTAAAAAGTTTTTTTTTAAAAAGGCTCCGATGATCACAGCTGTGGTGTGCGATCATCAGACCCTTTCTTTACCCTTTAAAAGCATTTTTTTACAGCCTATTCAGATGAATAGTTTGTAAAAAATGCTTTTAAAAAGTAAAAAAAAAAAAAAAGTTGGCCATGCCCACCCAGTCACATTATCCCCACCACCAAGCCAACCCCACAGAACCGGTAGTAACAAATTTTACATTTCACCACTGCTCCAAGATCCCTTCCAACTCTATTTTTCTATTAATCTGTTATTCTTATCTTTTCAATTGTCAAGAAACAGACATAAAGAAATTAAATATGCTCTATGAATGCTATCAGACGCTCCTGGAACTTCAGTTATTGGAATCTACAGATAATGAAGGACTAGATAAACTTGATCACCTAGAAAATATCTTGAAAGGTAAGTTAATATAAACCCTATATAAAAATAAATGTTTTATTTGGTTTTTTTTTAAAAGCACTTAAATTTCTACAAAATGTAAAACATTAAAAAAACAACAACAGTATTAAGAAGGAAAATTATATGGTATGGCAAGATGCAGAGTAATAAAAATGAGAACAAAGAAAAATAGTTTCCAAGGTTTTTTTGAGTAACATATATAAAATATATTAATTTTTTTAAATATAAAATTTGACAATACCCAGTATTTCTTTAAATATTTATAATAATCAAATCCCCAAATTAATATAGCATTTGGGGTTTCTAGCAAAAAGTCCAAAAGTGATTTCCATGCAGAAACATAGTTAGACAAAGTCTTTTCTTTAATCACGGTAGATTAAAGAACTACTTGATTCAGTCCTATTAACTTCAGCACCCATTCTTCCAATGTGGGAATCTGTAAATGTTCCTATCTTTGAGCATACAAAAGTTTTGCTGGAATTACCAAAATGGGAACAAAGTCTCAGAGTTTTTCTTTAATCATCAAACCTAAAACCCCTCACTATGATTTTAATTGTATATTTATTTTAAGAATTCTCTGAATTAGGTACATATTTAATCCTGAGGTGGTTTTATTTGTATGTATGTGTGTTTGTTTTGGGTAGTTTCAATCAATTCCATTTATTTATTTAATTCCATTCCAATATTGCCTTATTCCACAACAATTCAACTATCTGGTAGACCAATTCCAGAATACAAATTTGTATTATATCAAAGTCCACCCTTCCAAAAGATAATAATAATTATATTAATCTAGATATATTCAATTTTAAATAATAATCTAAAAGGAAGCCAGGAATAATCTAAAAGGAAATAGTAATAGAATAAAAACAGTAGATATGTGCAAAATCTACTGATTGGTAAATTGAAAGTTCCAGAGATATCTAGAATATTCCATCCCTTCTCTGGGATGTGTAAACCACCTATTAGGTCATATCATGCTTGCAAATGAATCCTCTGAACCAAAAGTCATGTTTTGTGCACATTTCTAAAAAGTAGCACTGAAATATTACTAACAGATAAAGATTTCTTATCTACTAAATTAAGATAATAAACTAATATAATTTCTTATCTACTAAAAGGTAAGAAAGATTTAGTATGTTTATATGTAATGACTTTGAGCATTTTATAGGATAAAAAAACAGAACAATAAAATGGAGAAGCAGATTATGTGCATCCTGGAACTGGGGGCAGGATAGGAATGCAGAAGCAAACAAAATCTTTTAGGGGACTTACCTTACCTGAATATCTAGATCTTCAATGCATGTCAGAATCATTGTTGTAGGAGGCTTATGGGTTTCTTAGGGAATAGTGTTCCCCTCTCCATTTTGGATCAACAATTTAACAATGAGAGTGCACAATAAGGATTTCTAAGGGGACAATTTCCCTGTGAAAATATGTGTTATATACTGCCTATCATCTACTGATCCTAAGGAAAATGTGACCACATCAAGGTAATAAAGATTTTAATAAACCAGAGTAGGGACGAGGAATACTGAAAAGCAAGTGCGATACAATATTTCATATGTCATTTGATTTAAAATTAATTTATATTACAATAGTGTAATCCAGAAAATTAAAGTTAATTTAAGCCCTAAGAAACCAAAATTACCACCCATTAGACAAAAACTCCCTTTTAAGCTTTGAATGATCTATAAATGTTTCAGTCAAAATAAATAAGCGTTTCCAAGACCATTGAATAACAGTTGCTACTATCTGTTAAAAATTACCCCACGTCTAAAGTTACTGATTGCAACTTTAGTTGACCCAGTTTTCTTTTAAACTCAAAAAGGTTTAAATATTTAAATAATTAGTAATTATTTTCTGTCTATTCTGCTGAACACTAAATCATTGAAATTAAAGTCTTGCTGATTTAGATGAACTGAATTGGCTTGCCATCTTAAAATGCTTCCTTGTTAGCCCAAACCAAATGTAAATTTAGGGCACTTCATACATGCAATGTGTTTATTGAATAAAAGCTGCTTACTTCACTAAAATTTCCATCTTCCATTTTGATTAAGATTTTAATTCCAGCAAAAGCTATCAGTTGATCAGAGAGATGCAGGAAACCTGGTATTCTGCAGATGAACAGAGAAAAAAGGAAGAGTACATGACATTATTCCAAACTTTGGATACCGATTTTGGAGGCAAGTGGTTGTCATATTGCTTCATTCTTCTTCAGATCCTCATGATCTCTTAGGGCAATTATAATTTAATAGATTTTTTTATAATACAAAACCTACACAATCTATCAATAGGATAGAATATAGAATATTTTATAACTTACAGAGTGGCAAAAAGAATAGTTTCTGAGAAAAAGTAGATAGCAAAACAGTTACCTTAATGATTATCCATACTGCGTGGCTTCTTTAATGTTTTTGTGTTATTTTTTTTAATAGATGTACAAACCACCTCACAGGTTCTAGGTAGCAAACAATGAAACATAATATAAAACCCATATTTAGATCTTTAAGTATTGGAAAACAAAACTATAAACACAGTAAGCAACAATAAAAATGGTGTTGATTGTCCTCTAGTGATTTATTCACTAAAGGCTGGGTTTTAACAAAACATAGTTAAAAAGTTTTTACAGAAGACTGATATTTCATTGTCATAGCAATTTAATTACAAATGAACAATTTGTAATTACAATTACAAGTGAACAATTATCTTGGACACATCTACTTTTAAAATTTTTCATAAGGATTCCAATAGTGCTTTAAACTGTGTCATTTGGAAAAATGAAAATATTTCACTTCTGACACTATAAATTGCAATGGAATAACCAGCAGCTGTTAAGCATACTTTTTGTAGGATGCTGGCAAAATAATAAATATATTGCATATATTTTCATATTTCATGTTCCATTTCTTCATTCCTAATATTTAGTACCATGTGTTAGAAAAGCAACATCTAGATTTCAAAGATTTTTAAAAAAATGAATAGGGAATAACTTGCATTTCAGCTCTTTATAATTTTATCTTTTTCATCCATCTCTCACTGTCATTTCTTTTAGATTTTACCAATGACTTCCATCAGAAGTGTTTTAAAATGGTGAAAAGAACATGTTTATGCCTTTTAAATTGGTCATGGGGAAGCATCAATAATTTCCTTTACCATTGTTGTAAGTTTTCATCATTATACTACACAATTTATATACTGTATATCTGTAAGATCACAACTGAGAAAATGCATACTCTTGCATTAAAAACACAGAATATATAAATCTTGGGTATATCATCAAAGAAAAAAATTCCCATTTGCCTTCTATTCCTATGTCCTTATAGAAGAACTGGAAAATACTCAGTTCGAGAAATTTTCCACTGGATGTCATCTAACAATGTATGTAAAACATGAAAAGAAGGGAGGAGAGAGAAGCAAGAAGGATTGCTTAAGGTGCTACCAAGGGGAAAAATAATAGCTGTTCCCTTTGGACTAAGATCCTTCTCCTTTTTACTTTATAAGCAATGTACCTGTCCAACAAAATTCTTTTGCAGAAAAATGGTCCCATCTAATTGACTACTTCTGCAAGAGTATGGTCTTTAGGTTCTCAATGTCTAAGCATTGCATATTCACAACAATGCTTCTACAGGAATGCACTCTGCCTACCTCCCAGTTACATACATATGTTCTCCTGTCGCTTACTGTCAGACAGTTCAAGTGATGTTAGATTTCAGTTAAAATATTTAGTGATGTCAGGTTTCTTGCCATACAGCTACTTGAATAAGTTTGTTGATGTGTGTATAAAGAGTTATCACTAACGTTCTGTTTCATTTCATATGATTAGCTGATGTTGAATTTCCTGAACTCACAAGTGATCCCATCATATCTTTGATTGATGCTGGTCTCACTATAAATACAGCATATCCATCAATTCTGCGTCCTGAGAGGCAGGTGAAGTTGGTTCTGTCTTTTGACTTCAGTGCTGGAGATCCTTTTCTGGTAATTCATTTAAAATAAAGGAGCCATTTTGCATGCCTAGAATTCAGTTGAAGGATAATGCTTCCATGATTCAGCAAGACATATCTTATTTGTTTTATACTTAAATTACACTTGAAAAGTAATGCAGATAGGAGAGAATTTGAATTAGATAAAATCTCATCCTGGTATTTCCTTGGCAGTGCTGTACCTACCTCTTGATAACTTCTTTTCATAAAATTATATATTTCTATGGGAGAAATATATGGGACATGGTGGCTCAGTGGCTAAGATGCTGAGCTTGTCGATCGAAAGGTCGGCAGTTCAGCAGTTCGAATCCCTAGTGCCACGTAACAGGGTGAGTTCTCATTACTTGTCCCCATTTCTGCCAACCTTGCAGTTCGAAAGCATGTAAAAAATGCAAGTAGAAAATAGGGATCACCTTTGGTGGGAAGGTAACAGTGTTCTGTACACCTTTGGCATTTAGTCATGTTGGTCACATGACCACGGAGACATCTTCGGACAGCACTGGCTCTTCACTTTTGAAACAGAGATGAGCACCGCCCCCCTAGAGTCAGGAATGACTAACACATATGTGCAAGGGGAACCTTTACCGTTACTTATGGGAGAATCTTTAGCATAATTTCTTCATTTTTTGGTATTCCTTAGTTCTGATAAAATTTTTGGCATTACTAGACTATTGAAGGGAAACATGATAACTTATGCTCCTCTTTCCAGGGTTGAGTTCTTAGAGACTCTAGACTCTAAATGCAACACAAGAAATAATTATAAATATTCATTCTAATTAGCCAGTAACTATTTATTTATATTAATGTTTTCTCTTTCCTCATTGATTAGACAATTAAAAAAGCTGCTGAATATTGTGAAGCACATGCAATTCCATTTCCAGAAATAGATGAGAATGCATTACAAGATCTAGATAGTCCATCAGATTGCTACATCTTCAGAGGAGAACACACACCAACTATTATACATTGTCCATTATTCAACCAAATCAACTGCCCAGGTAACCTGGAAATGAGAATCACTTGAGAAAAATGTGAAAAAAGTATTGGGGGCAAACAATATTGAATGTGTTACATTTGCTGAATCCTCTTAATGCTTAAACTAAAACAATTTCTCTCTAATTCTTGTATCTATCATTTTGACATATTTTCATTTCTAATGCTGTATTTTCTTTACTCTCTTTGTTTTTCTATAAAAATGTTTCACAGAATTAAATCCTCTTTAGTAACTCAAAACAGGGTTTTATAATGTCAAATATTTTGTTTTGTTGGTGGTGGCCAAAATCTGGGTAAGAATTTTTTGAAATATGAATATTCCTGGCTCCGAAATCCTCCTAAACTTATAAAACAATCCAATTTAAATCTGATTAGTTGTAGAGTTTGCTAGATCTCTGTGATCAGGTTTGGCAATGTTTTGGCACATGATTTTTCTCCTTGAGATAAAGAGATACCATGATTTTTTAAAACAAACTATGTAGATCACCTGAAAGTCATGACCAGTAATTCAACATGCTTGTAACATAATATATAAATTATTGTGGGGAAAGAAAGAATGAGATGTTGCCTAGGAAGCAAACAGGGAAGAGAAGCAGGAACCGAACCAGGGAAAGAGATTTAGAAAAGACTTGCCTTAATGGACATGTTAACAGTGGAGGCAGGAAGTTTGTGCCTTTAGATTTGCAAGATTCTATAAATGTAAACTTGCAAAAAGACATAATTAGTTCATTTTGTCACGTTTCTGTCTGGTTTACTTAGGAGATCTGACAGGACTGAAGAAGCCTTTTAACATCTGTATATAAAAATCTTTTAGCAATTTTTGCTACCTAATTGGAAGGCTTTTCTAATATTAAAAGTATCTGGAAGTCCAAAAATAAGTGAAGTAAAAGAGCATGCTTTCTTACTCTTAAATATGAATGAACCATATTCTTCAGGAAGCAGCTTAAAGCTGCCTCTGAAATGTAGTGCCCCTTTGCATTAATTATTTTTATTTAATTTTATACTTTCCAAACAACATTTACTTTATCCAAGGAAGAGTAAAGGTGATTGAAACCTGGTGATGACCAGCATTCTTTATTTTGCTAGACTGTAATAATTCTTCTTGGTGAAATATCATTTTCTTCTATAATTCAGATAATCTGTGTACTCTCTGTCTCCTAATACAATTTTTTTAAAAATTAAATTTTGTCTCATTTTTAGGTGAAATTGCTGAATATAGAGAACAATTCTCCACTTTCAAGTTGAGCTATTCTGTTGAAGAGATTGAAAAGTTGCTTATTGCAGCAAAGAAGAATGTAGCAAATGTTCAGCAAAAGATTCTGGAGGAAATCAAGCACATTGTAGGCTGTCCTTCATAAACTGCTGAAGCAAATGTTTCCCATTATATATTGATTGATGAAAAGCTTGTTCTCCAGCAGAAAACACTGTTACTAACTATTAATACCCAGGAAGGTTTATGCAGTTTCCCTTCCTCCTCTGAAAGAGGTTTAATTAATATCTATTGAGTTTGAGATCACACAAGATTTGTGATTGCTGCTAACATTATAAAAAAGTAAAATTTTACATTAATAATTGTTAAATTTGGAGTTGAATATTCAGAGAAGTAAAGAATGGGAAAAATTAAAGAGGGAGAACTATCTATTTTGAGATAGTAGTTAAGACATCAGACTAGAAACTAGGAGACTGTAAATTCTAGTCTTGCTTTAGATATGAATCTAGCTAGCCATTTCTAAACACTAATGACAAAACAACTGCAAGGAATAGTGATTGGGACTTAAAAAAATGACTTGGAGATACAAGTTTTATGACTCTTTATGAAGTACTGCTATATTTTCTACTTTTTATTATATATATATAATAACCTTGTCGAAACGTCACCAAGATACTCTCAATCTTACACGGGAAAAGACCCGAATATGCCAAGACCTGCATACCTGTACCCGTGAAAATCTACAAAACCACACATACACACACACATAGATATACACATACATATACATACATATTTACTTATAATATTTAAACATGTTACATGTATTTACAATTTAGTCATATTTAGATGCCCAAATTTGTCCTTGGTTTAGCAAAGATGCACAAAACATTTTAATACACATAGCAAATTAGAGGAAAGATTGATTTGAAGAACTTCCTAACTTCTATATCTCTGAAAATGATGGAGAATTTATTTCAATTCAGTTGAGTATGGAATTACATACTATGGTTCTGGAATTAATATGTTCCAGCACCATAATTCTTTCCCTTTTTGTGTATTTGCAATTCTTATGAATAATTGTTGGACACTGTTTAAAGAACTGTGCACCTAATTTCTCTTACAATAAGAATTATGTTCACATTAATATGTAAGGTGTGTGTGATCAAGAAATTTGTTGTTAAGAGTGCAGAGTAAGAGTGGCAGAAGAATAAAGCCAAACATATATTTTATTACATTCCTTATAGATACAGTATAACCTCCTACAGAGTACTTTATTAACATGATTCACACATTTTCCTAACCATAATTTGTTTGACCATGGCTTATTGAGAAAAGTTTTATTGGACGCACTTATTCTGTGCTACAAACCTTATCAACACAAGCAGTGGATTTAAATGGAAAATAAATTTCCAGAAGAAACTATTTCCAGTTGCTCTTTTTGTCACTGTTTCAAAACCAAAAGAACACAGAATGAATTGCCCAGTCCATCAACCTAACAAATATGGGAATGCCAAAAAAGGCATCTAGCTAATGCTTTCTCACACTCAATTTTGTTGTTGTTAGCTCATTCAGAATTTGTTTTCATGGCAACTGGACTCACTGAAAGGAAACTATAAAACTATAAATTAGTTCAGTAGCCAAAGAAAAGCAATGTTGAGGACATAATGTTCTCAGTCTGGTACAAATAAGAATACCCAAGGAAGCTAATAGGAGAGGTCCATCATCCATAAAATGAAGCCAATATTTTTAGAGATGACTTATTACATTACTTTGCCGTGATATATGGCTTATTCCAAGCATCTGATTGATTTAGACAAAGACACTTTGTAGTGGTGAGCTATACTGAACAACACATGGAAACAATTAATGAACAATCAAGAAATGCCTTATTGTCTAAGTAAAACTTCTTTCACAAACCGAATAGTAGCAAGGATTGTTTTTTTTATAATTGCTTTGCTCTGTAGAGCTGATGACTTACCAAAACCCAATTTGTGTACAACAAAACTTATTTATATTTGACATAAATATCTGAAATGGCAATGAGCCCTGAAGATGCTCACTAAAAATTGTCTACGTAGAAATTCAGTTCTCTTAATTCATCAAGTTAAAAATGTCAGATTTTCAGCTATTTTTTTCAAGAGGAAGTTGAATTTCACTAGTCATAGGAAGAATCTGCAATTTCAAGAAATGCTGAATTTTGTAGCTGTTGTCATCAGATTAGAAGATTTTTAACAATGAAAGAAAAAGAAAAGGGGATAAGGAAGACTTTGTTTCATTTTCAGTTATAATCACACTGTACTGATTTGTTGACAGCAAACTATTTCTTGGTGTGTGTTTTTTTTTTTTTTTTGAAATTGTAAGATATTAAACATTTGATAGTACTTGATGAATCAGTGTTTCTAAATTTAATCACTTTGGCTCAGAATTATTCTTTCCCCAAAGTTCTACCTGAACAATAAAAACAATGAGTTTGATATCTGAACAAAATAATATACAATAATTGCATATTCTCCCAGGCTACTGATGAAGGAGAGGTAAGATATGGATGTTACAAATATTTCTATACATATCACTATAAATGAACACATGTTGGACCAGGAGTGAAATCCAGCAGGTTCTGACAGGTTCTGGAGAACTGGTAGTGGAAATTTTAAGTAGTTCGGAGAATCGGTAGTGGAAATTTTGAGTAGTTTGGAGAACCAGCAAATGTCACTTCTGGCTAGAACCATAGTGGGGTGGGAATTGAGATTTTGCCCACTAAGCCACGCCCACAGAACCAGTGGTAAAAAATTTGGATTTCACTACTGTGTTGGACTGTTTGAGTAGCTCAGAATTTCTCAATAATTATTTTTGCATGACAGGCTAGGTTATAGGTCAATTATCTGAATGTGATTGCAACTGACTTGACAGTTGAGAATTCCATAAATGAGCTGTACATTCTTAATTTGGTAAAGATACTGATTGTTTTGTATTTTATTTTAGTAATATTGCCTAATAAACTATAACTACATTTAAATACATTTCATTGATTTGACTCAAATATTTCTCAAGAAATTAATTAGGATTAGTGTCTGCTGCTGCCTGCTTTCTTAAGCAATTCCAAAACTTTGATTAGGATCTTTGGGAATGGGAAACAAAAAACAAACCACATTCACTGCAATAAATCTAAATGTATAACTGAGAAAAAGGGGGACGGGGTTAATCTTGCCCTTCTCATAATAGCAATTTGATGTCTTTGATTTTTCATATGGTTGGATATAAATGTCTACATAAAATTGGTGTTAAAAGGTACAAAACAGTCTAGGACATCAATGATTTACATGAGAATGTGGTATGAAGTATATAAGCTTGTTAGTAACTGATTAGTATTTGCTACCTTCATTGTATTTCTTCCTATGGCATTCCTAGAAATTTGCTATGGCTCTATAATAATCTCTCAGATGCTCTCAATCTTCTTAATGGAGAAGCATTTTTTTTCCCGCTCATAGCTGTATTTTTTAGTTAGGTATACTTTCTAAACTTGGTTGTTTGTAGAACAACCTCAAGTAGAAGAAGGAAGTTTTCTTTTTCAGTTACAGAATTTAAGATGGTATGGACATGAAGGACATGAGGAGCTCTGGTGGCTCAGCAGACTAATTAAGATCCACTTACATCTGCTGCCTGCAATTACTGCAAGTTCAAATCTCACCAGGCTCAAGGTTGACTCAGCCTCCCATCCTTTCTAAGGTAGGTAAAATGAGGATCCAGATTATGTGGGCAATAAACTGACTTTGTATAAATATACAAAAGTATGAAGGCTATTGCTTAACGCATTGTAAGCCACCCTGAGTCTCCGGAGAAGGGCGGCATATAAATCAAAAATTTTTTTAAAAAAATAACCATGACTAATCTAGGAATATGAATGAGGAAACTTCATCTTGAACTACATAAACTGCTTAGGACTAAAAAGGCTTTTGCAGACATACTTTTCATCCTTGGTTATTCTTCATAGAGGTAAGCATTCCAAATTTCTACCTCCTTGATTTCCAAATGGTAATGTGATATTAGAGAATGGTTTCTCTAATGATTTCTCTACTGTGATAGAAGAGGGATACTGTAGGGTGAAAAGGGTCAGATGGCAATGTCTCCTAGGCTGCACATACATTTTGCTTTTTAGGTAATTATAAACCAACTAGCAGCCCCAATGAATTTAGAACTTTATCCAGATTTAAACAGAAACACACTATTCTCTCAGATAATTTCTAACTCTGACAAATCTTATTTGTATCTCAAACTTTCAGAGTATCAGCATTAGAAATTTAAACTTGCATACATTTAAGACAATATGTTTGATGTATACTGTTGAGTATTGAATGGCAGATTTGAATGGACCAATCAGGGACAAGAGCGGGAAATTCATAGGACCGTCATTGGCTGAAACCGCGAACAGCTCCTAGCTATAAAAGGAGCTGCCGCAGCTAGTATTACCATTGCAATTTATGGAGCTAATAAAAGTGTTAGATTCTACTCCGTGTCCTGTCCTTTTCTTGTGCCCACAACTTAACTCTGGTGATGAAGGTGGGATACTAGGACAGAGAAAAAAGCACTAAACCTCCACAGCAATCACCAGCCACCCCGATCAACGGCCACAAGAATCGGTCAGATCATTGGCTACCACTATGCCTTCAATCAGCCCACCTGCACCATTCAACCTGGCTGGAGAAGACTAGGAATCTTATATGGAAAGATTCCATATGTACATGGAAGAGAATGACCTCTTAAGCCTGTCAGAGCAGAGGAAGAGAGCTATATTCCTCACACACTGTGGACCGCAGTGTTCAAAATGGCAAAAGCACTTGCAGCCCCTACAGAATTGAGAACGATGTCCTGGACGGACCTACAAAGCATCCTCAAGGCGCACTACGCTCCCCAAGCCTCTTCCCTGGTAAGGAGACATGAATTTTACCTGAGGGACCAGAGAGAAGGTGAGTTGATCAGTGAATTCATTGCAATCTTGAGGGAGATAGCTGCAGCCTGCAATTTTTTAAACTTAGAAGAGGCTATGAGGGACCGGCTAATATTGGGACTAAAAGACCTTACATTGCAAAGCAGACTGCTAGCCAAACTCAGATAACCTTCAAGGAGGCGCTAGAAGAAGCCAAAGCATCAGAGGCATCCCAGAAATCTGCAGCAGCCATGAAAAAAGTGAACAAAGGGCCACAAGGGAAAGATGAATCCAGGGTCCACTATGAGGACGTACAAACAGAATCAGAAGAAGAGGAAGAGGATGAGATCCACCACCTACAAATGGACCGGAGAGGCAAGCCATGAGGAAAATGGAGGCTAGAATTCTGGTGCACAGGCTCCGAGGGAAATCACCCCAGGACAGAGTGCAGGTTCTGTGATGCCATATGCCAAAGGTGCAACCGAAAAGGGCATATAGCGAGAGCCTGCAGGGTGTCTCAACCATCAGCCCGAAGAAGCCACCCGAACCGCCTGCCAAGCTCACCGCCACCCAACTGGTCATTCAAACCAAGTGGAAAAAAGCAACCATTTGGAAGAAGTCGCAGAAGTGAGGACTCAAGATCGGAGTGAGGCGAGACCCACCAAACATTAATAGTGGGTCATGCGAGCGCAGGCAAATCCAACAAGATGGCAGCGACCATACTCATCGAGGGGAGACCCTGCAAAACAGAGGTCGACTCGGGGTCCTGCCTACCCATGGTTTCCTGGACAATGATACAACAGCTGGTTCCAGGCATCAAATCCAGTGCACACAAGCAACAAAGATTGACTCTCATAGACTACCAAGGGAATCGAATCCCAGTAGTTGGCACAGGAAGATTCAACATTGCCTACAAAACCTTCAAGGCAAAGTTACCCCTCACCATCGTGAACTGGGACAGACCTAGTCTATTGGATCTGGAGTGGTTTGTGTTGTGGCCCCGCCCACTGAGCCTATCTCATCGGAGGAAGAAAGCTCCGAATATGAGGAAGAGGAGTCAGCCAGGCCTCCCTCTCCAGGCCCCTCCCCTCTGGCACTGTCTCAGGTGCTGGCCGAGGGAGAGGAGATTAGCCAGGAGCCAGGTGTCTCTGATGAGAGCGAAGGAGAGCCGTCATTCCTGGATGCACACCAACGAAGGCATGATAAACGGTTGCAGCAGTTAAGAAGGCGTGCTAGGGATTAGAACTGAGTCACTGGACCACACCCCAGAGACTATATAAGAGAGGGTGGTGGCTGGTAAAACCCATGATGAACAAAAACGAACTTTGGCTAGTCACTTGAACAACGTCTAAAGCTGCCGAAAGGGATATTGTTTTTGCTGGACTATTTTGCAATGCGTATGCAATTTATGTTATCTGTTGCAGTAAAAGCTCTTGGCAGATGGTGATTATATTGCTGCCAAGTTTGAGATAACGACCTGTGTGCGTGCCAAGTACTTTCTTAACCCTCGGCTGGCTGTGTTTGTGTGTGTGTGTGGACGGGGACAGATCAGGTTTGAGACATTAGGACTGGCAGTGACAGGCATCAACCACATCAACAACTGCGGCTGGGAAGAAGACCTGATGACAGAATTCGTGGAAGTATTCAACAGCGAATTAGGCAAATACACGGGGTCCCCGATATCCTTTAACCTAGACCCCCGAGTTGCCCCTGTCCAGATTAAACCAGGAGGGTCCCTTTTGCTCTAAGGCTCAAAATAGATAAGCAAATAGACAAGCTAGTTGCTCAAGGAGTATTAGAGCCTACAGACCATGCGAAGTGGAAGACACCCATCATCACCCCAGTTAAGCCAGATGGGTCGGTGCGCATTTGTGGTGACTACAAAAGTACAGTAAATAAGGCCCTACAACAGAGTGCTTACCCGGTACCAGTGGTGCAACATCTGCTTCACTCATTGGGCTGTGGAAAGATATTCGCTAAACTAGATCTGGCACATGCATATCAGCAGCTGCCTGTAGATGATGCCACAGCCAAAGCCCAAACAATGGTAATGCACAGGGGTGCCTTCAAGTGCAAGCGATTACAATTTGGAGTCAGTGTAGCCCCAGGATTGTTCCAAAGCCTGATGGAACGATTACTACAAGGGATTGAGAGAGTTGTTCCATATTTCGATGATGTACTCATCTCAGCAAGGAATTTAGACCAGCTGAAGCAACGCCTAAGAGAAGTGCTATCTAGATTCTGAGAGGTGGGGCTCAAAGTAAAAAAGAATAAATGCAACTTGGCAGAAAAGCAAGTAGAATTCCTGGGTTACTTAATTGATAAATCAGGAATAAGACCCACTCCTGGAAAGTTGAGGGCAATTAAAGAGGCACCCACACCAAAAAACAAAACGGAGCTGCAAGCTTTTTTAGGATTACTGAATTTTTATAATATCTTCCTACCACAGAAAGCTACAACTGCTGAACTGCTCCACCAGCTACTGAATAAGATAACGGAATGGAAGTGGGGGAAGAAGGAAGGAACGGCATTTGAAGACATAAAAAAACTACTAACATCAGACAGAGTATTAGTCCAGTACAGCGGAACGCTGCCGATCCACTTGACTTGTGATGCATCGCCTTTCGGCATTGGAGCTGTACTGAGCCATTGCATGCCAAACGGAAGAGAGGCCCCCATAGCATTTTACTCCAGAATGTTGTCCAAGCCAGAGAGGAACTACAGTCAACTAGATAAAGAGGCATTGGCTGCAGTAGCCGGAATAAAAAGATTCCATGAGTATTTGTACAGCCAGAGATTCGAACTCATCACCGACCATAAACCATTACTGCACACCCCCCATTTTATCACCAAGAATGCTTTGCTGGGTAGATTTTTTAACAGTCTATGACTACCAGCTGAAATACAAGCCTGGCAAAACAATCAACCACGCTGACGCCCTCAGCAGATGCCCGTTTCCGGTAATAGAAGATCCAGCCCCAGTATCAACCACACTGCTCATTGAAACTATGGAAAGTGCTCAAATCTCCACTGCAGACATCGCGAGAGCCACTGCGAAAGACAAAACCCTGGCACACATTTTAAATTGGGTCTGGA